AGAATTTTTCACAATACATCTAATTGAATTGACAATAGCAGCATCAAGAGCGACACCAAGCGGAAATAATTAGCATTAAAATAAATTATTGTCATTATCATCTATTTCTATATACGTATTTCATAACAAAGAATCTGCCTGTTGATGTTGCAACATTAAAATTTTTTTTGTGTAAAAAATAAATACTTGAAGTTCAGAAATTAAATATAAAATAGAAATATTATAAACAACTGAAATATTTTGCTAATGTAATAAAATGGTAACTACACACTGTCTATACATGGAAGATATTTAAAAAAAAAGTCTAACACAGATGTCAAAACGAACATTTTTAGAAATTTCGGCTATATATATCTGTATGTTAGTTCCGGCATCATGCAATAACTACTATACCAATACCATCATCGAGAATTGATATATTTAATTAATTCTCTTATTTCTGAAATCCACGGATACAGATTAGCGAACAAAAAGGTAGTTTACAATAAATAATTTGCATTTGGACCATATTTGATTTATAAAATTCAGTACTAACACCTTGGAAGTGTGATTATATTACAAATAATTATACACAAAGATTTAGTTTTAAAATTATTATTGTATACACTTACATTGTACGTGTTGTTAAATAGCACTGCGAGATTTTTAAATACATAATAGATATAGGCGAGTGTAACCTGCCTAGAACTCTGACTGAAAAGGCTGTTAAACGATTGCAAATGTTTGCATGTACCAGATTGTATTCTCTGTGGTAACATTGTTGGTGTTGTTATCTGTAAACATAGATTATATACATACACATATTTGATCGTAGGTACTAGTTTTTACACGCGATTTTTTCTGTGTGTCCTTGATATATTGATTGGCTAGGACAATAAATAAAATGTAGTATTATTTAAGAAAAGATATTAAAAAGGAAGAGGGTCTCAATTAGTTTATATTTATTACCTCATAATTCCGTCCGTTCTAAACTATTTTTTAATTATTTATAAAATTCTTTTATTATCTGAAAGGATATAAGAAAGAAAGAAAGAAAACATTTATTGACAACAACGAAAAGTTACATAAATTATGAATTAAAAAACAAAAAAACTTTACATTTATTGTTGTCAACGTATTATTATAACATATTCGTCCCAAAGACATTTTGTGAAAATTGGTTCGATAATTTAGTTTATAAACAAAATTACTGGTTTTGTCACAATGGATGGCATTTTTTTTTTTATTTTGTGGGGAAACAATTTTTAATTATAAAGTTTTAATAATTAAAAAACAAATTATTAATTTTTGCCTAAGATTCCAGCGTTAAATGCAGGCCCTACTTAAATAGTGATGTAAATATGATCAACAACATGTAATGTATAAGTTATTTGAATTTACCAACCACACTTCATAGTGTCATCGATACGTGAATTTAACGTAAGGAATTTTTTACTTTTTATAAAACCAGCAAAACTGGATGCCATATCTTGTATATGTATCTTGTCTCTTGTTACTTGCCCAACTATTTATGGTAATGAGAATACTAAATATGGAGCCATAACACCCTAGTCTAGTCGCCAGGAGTAAAACCATGAACGATATATAAAAAAGTATATATCTTCCATATTATGTACTTCCATAAAGTTCTTTTTCAATAAAGAAAAGAAAACAAAAGAATAAAATACGTGTATTATTATTTTATTTTCTCTTTTTATTCTTTCATTATTATTATATATTCAGGACGTTTACAAGAATATACTTATTATATATTAATATAAATAATATAAGATACTAGCTTTTACCCGCGTACCCGTTTACTGGCCGAGATAAAAAGTAGCGTTTCTTCTCCATTCAATATAATATGTGTATACCAAATTTCATTGTAATTGGTTAAGCAATTAAGGTGCTATAAGGCAACAAATAAAAAAACTTCTTTTCACATTTATAATATTAGTGAGGATTTATTACTAATTTATGTAAATATTGGAGTTTTTTATTACCTAATATTATCGTTATTATTTTCTCTCACGACACTCAAGCCGTGGAATGAGCCGAGGTTTTCCCTAGAGACTACAGTATGGGATTCTTCAAAAATGGTTTATTAAGGTTTCTTCGGGGTCGCCAACGTGCATATGGCACCCTTAAAATAATAACACAGATGTCATTAAGCTACAGTGACCGTTTACCATCAGACGGGCTGTATGCTTATTTGCCACCCTTGTGGCATAAAAAAAAGCTTACAAAAGGGCATAATTAGATATACCTAGTAGATTAGCGTAGATTTTGTTGATCTTACAAAATCCAAATAAAACCTTTAAATATTAAATAAAAAAACTAAATAAAATTACGTCAACAATATTTAAAAAAAATACTTAATTGAGTCAATAACCAATTTATTGAATTTAAAAGTAACAGTAAATTAGTCTCACTATTGACATTTATTGACGTAATATTTTAATTTATTATTATTCTACAACTGATTAGATGTATTATTTTTACATACTATAAAATTATAACAAAACGATGTTTGTCTGTACGTGGGAAATATTAAAAAAATTATATGGAGTGCCTTAATAAGAGTATTAAAAGTCAAAACAATATATTTAAGAATTTTTTATTTGAATGTTCCGGTTTCAAATAGAAACTATTGTTGTGATCCTAAAAGACGAAATTAAATCCAAGGTATGTTACATCTTAAAACTTGTCCAGTCTAAAAGTTTTTTTTTTTTTTATACTACTACAGTGGCAAGCAAGCATAAAGGATGTGTTGGTTTTTCTCCGTGCGTAACATAACAGTAAACCTTACGGTGTGATTTTTTTAAAAAGAGCTCACAATGAATAGTTAGAGCATTGAGCCTCAAAAACGGGTCAACTTTTTTTATCAGTATTATATATATATTCGTATAAAATGTATCTTGATGTATTATTTAATAAATAAAATGAATATTTACGCATTAAAAGATACAAAATTTATAAGACAAAATAAATATAGAAGTTATAATGGAGTCACTCATAACTGTTTATCACGCAAAATTGAATGAAAAAGTTGACCCATTTTACTCAAAGCATTTCTATGAAGACACTCTATCTATATAATCTAAGATAAAGAGGTTATCTGCTTCCAAATTCCACGCATACATAGTCGCGAGCAAAGCTAGTATTAAAATAAAAATATATGTTTGAGAACGTTGTTTAATTTTAAATTATTATTCATGCGGCATAAAATCATTCCGCCAGTTGCTAAAAAACGTTTATCGCTGAAATTGGTTTTAATGAGCGTATGCATAATTTTATCATTTTAATTATTAAATTTTAAATCATAAAAACTAAAATAAAATAAATTAAAAATCTTATTAACATATTTTTAAGCATAACAATGATTTTTAGCGCACTATTATCTCTGATTTGGCTGTGTATACAATATAAAAACTTGAGAAAATACTAAAATATTAATAAGTGTCGCTCGTTTGTAAATACATTGACCTGGCATCGAAATATGAATCATTTCGTTAGAAACAAAGAACTGTAGAAATACCTATTACATGCGGATTTCATGTAAGGCTAAATACTTACGTAAAATGAAATCATGATGTTCAAAATAGATATTGTATCCATTATAGACGAATAAGTATAACGTAAGTAGGTATTGCTATATAACTATGCTAAAATTGATAATTGTAGTTCAGAAAAAAAATTGTAAAAGATAATCTTACTAATAAGAATTATATCATCCTTACTAATATTATACACTAGGGGATTGTTAGTAATGGAGACTGAGAATCCCATTGCTAACAATATACCCAACCAGGTCGACCTCCTCGCGGTTCCCCCTGGAAGCTATCGTGGTTAATTCCTGGTGAATTCATCATGATAGGCTAACTGGCATGTTTTCATTCTCACCTATCACCCTTCACTGGTGCTCCGCCAGCGTATCCCGTTGGCGCGGGCTACCATTCCATTTTCACCCAACAAAAAAAAAATTATACACTAGCTGTATCTCCCTACCTCGCTCGAGTGAATCAGTATATAAAATATCCTGTGTTATAAGTTAGGTTATAATCTATACGTGTACTAAATGTCATTGAAATCCATCAAAACATTCATCTATACTATACTAACATCCTTATAAACCTTTGTCTGTTACTTCTTAGCGCCTTAACAGATCAGTCAATCGTTACAAATTCTGGTACACTAACAACATAGAATGCTTCTTATCTCTTTCAATTAACATGTTCATAACTCAAAATATTCTCAGAGGGGGGGAAAGGGATTGTTAGTAATGGAGACAGAATCCCATTGCTAGCAATATACCCAACCAGGTCGACCTCATGGTTAATTCCTGATGAATTCATTATGATGGGCTAACTGACCTGTTTTCATTCTCATCGATCACCCTTCACTGGTGCTCCGCCAGCGTATCCCGTTAGCGCAGGCGGGGTTAACATACCATTTTTACCCATAAAAAAAACTCAAAATATTTGATGCAGATTTTCACCATTAGTGTTCATTACATAAATTAATTAAGAAGCTTTGATTTATGTATTGACTACCCCACAATTTTGGCCTAGGACAATATGTTATTTGTATGTATGATATGGGTATCAAACTTAATATCAAACAACCAAACACCTTAACGAGCGCCTTTACTATCTTTACATTTATTATGTTAATAATTATTACAATGAACGAATGAATTATTTATTTATTATACGTACTAATTTTTTTTCTTATAATGAATGAAATTGCGTCAAAAACTCACAACACTGACAGTCAATTGTTTACACATGCATAGTACTACATAATTTATTAACTGTTATGTCAACGCATTGAACTAGATTACGTTAACCTTTTACTGATCAAATACACGTCACCGTTACCGGTTTCCGACCTTATATAGCAAATCAATTGGATTTCCCAATCACCTCCCACACTGGGCAAATCTTCCCGCTATGCGGTAAGACAATAATATCGTTATATCGATAAGGAAGGCTTTATGACTGGAGGGGATACCTACTTGGCAGGACGCAGTCTCATACGGACCGCAGTGGGTTTTCTGAAGGCTGTGGCACGAGCCGCATGCCAACATCGCGCTTGACCTCGTCCGACCCTATTAATACAAGATACACCGGCAACAGGACATAGTATCTTCGATATCCTCAACAATGAAGTTCCTCTGCTGTGTCGTAATATTCGCGGTCGCCGCAAGGAGTGCACTTCCAGCGCCGGCAAATGGATTTGTGTTTCCGGACGATGCGAGGCGGCAGAAGAAGTTGGAGCCCATTACACCACCAGTTCTTCCCGTTTTGGAGCATTTAGAGAGGGATCCTAGTACTTTATTGCCAAACGAAAGGACGCGTTCTGCACCCAGTAATGTCAAGCCAAAATTTGGATTTGGTGGCGGTTTTAACGTGGGACCTTCACAGAATGGAGGGTTGTCTGCAAGTATAAGCAGCAGTGCTAATGGACCTATTGGAAGCCATTCGGCTTCACAGTCATTCTCTTTCGGTTTCAATGAAGGATTCGGTGCGTCACAATCAGCTAGTCAGTCGTCGTCGTTCGGATTTGGAAGGTACGTTTGTACACGTAATTATAATAATAGTAGAAAGAGTGTGTAATGATAACCTTCGTATACCACTAGTGTGCGTTGTCTTGTGTAATGAGGTCCCGACTTCAATCCTCGGTCAGGCCTGTTTATAAAAATTAATTTTCTGAGTTAACTTATTGTTGGATTATTTCTTGTTTTATTATAGCGAGAGGTATTATGGTAAAAATTTTAGTAATATTTGGTGTGTATTTAGAAATGATAATATAAAAGTATGAAAGTTAATTGCCTTAAAAATAGAAAGTTAGTTAATAATAAATAATAAAAGTTAAAAGAAATTGAAAACTTTAAAAATAGGAATTTCAATCCAACAAAAACAAGTAATTTTATAATTATTATAATTTCAACGAATATTTCTTGGCGAATTTATCAGTGTTGTAAATAAGCAATACAAGTACAAGATAGACAATAGCACTGATTTTTATTTACTATATTCATCTCATTATTCATCTCTGTCTAAAATATTAATAAGACCTAAAATATCGTTGTATAAATCAGTAATCTTATTATATGTAAGAACTTGTAAAAACATTTGTATATTTGAATGTTATTCAATCATACTTCCTATGTAAATTTATTTAATACACTGATAGACCATCTGGATTGACGTCAGGCAGGCTGCCGGTCGTAAAACTATAAGCCAATTCTTTTTGTAATATGATTTTTCACCAGAGGGAGACTTTGTACAAAAGTCGATTGCTTAAGTACCTCTGTCTCATTCGTGTTTCAACATATGAAGCAGTTGTGTTTGCATGGCTGTGTTTCGGTTTGAAGGATGGGATATGGCGTGAATTTATTGGGTACAGAGGAATAACACCTGAGTCCTCAGGAATGGCAACGCGTAGGGGGTATCATGGGCGAAACAGTATACTCTATTATGTCCATGGTACTGCTCATGTCTATAGGTGACGGTTACCACTTTCCATCAGGTGGGTCGTCAGTTTGTTTGCCATTCTAAGTTGTATAAAAAAACATATTACGCCGACCCCAAATAAATTGGGATAAGGGTAGGAAGATGATGATGAGACAGATATATCATATTCTAAATGAACACAAAAATACTTTACGTGTATATACAAATTCACTAAGATATAAATAATACGTAATATTTAAATAACAGTCTAACCATTATATGTATTTCCTAGAAAGAAAAAATTAGGGGTTCAAAACTTTACCATAATTTTCGTTATTACCTAACATGTTAAACCATCCGATATTTTTAAGTACTCGCGTCTACCTACTTTTTAAACCACTCGCATGGCCATTCCTTTTTACTTGCATAATTTTAATGCTTTACTCACCATGTTTACATAAATAGCGTGGTTTTAATAATAACTTTTTAAATTATTGTTGTCATTACCGGTCGTTTACGAGATAATCTGTATATAAATATATAGTGTACACATATATATGATATAGATGTCGCATGTGCGTCTTTATATGTATAATTTATTAAGGAACATTTAAAAGTAGATTTGGACTCCAACTAAATTTGAGTTTATATTAAACAAAGTTACGACAATTCAAAATGAAAATTATTATATTATCAAAAATATAAAAGTGCGAAATGAAGACATTTAGCTAATATAATAATAAGTACTGTAATATCAGTCTAAGTAATTTAGCAGTGGAACGCTTAGTTTTATATAAATTAAGGTACTAGCGTCGTGTACATCTTTTAAGTCTATGGCAACGTATCATCCACTTAAAATTTTCTATTACCTCTTGTAATAATATGTTTACCCTTCATACTAAATTTTATGGAAATGTCCTCAATAGTGACAACAAAAGGACAACTTACACGGTGTAATATATTTTATGTTGTCTAAACACTGTTCATGTTTATAGACGACGCATAATACAATTGTTTCTTAATCGCTAGATAGATGCATTTTCCTCTGACAAACAGTGCTACTAAGGATCGAGTGGCAATAGGTAAAACTAACTCACCATAATATTTTTAGCTTTATTTGCTAATTATAGGTAAAACAAATCAAATACCCCCCCCCCCCCCCCACTACCAATACCATTACTCAATTCATCACCGTCACTGCTGAACATAGGCCTTCCCCCGTTAAGGGATATTTTTCTTTTTAATGGATGATAATGAAATGATAAATAACCCCGCCTGCGCTAACGGTATACGCTGGTGGGGCACCAGTGAGCGATGATAGATGAGGATAAATAGGCTGGTCAGTTAGCCCATCATGATGTATACCCTGGAATTCAGCACGATGGTTTCCAAAGGGGACCAGGTGGATGTCGACCTGACAAGGTATATTGCTAGCAATGGATCTGGTAGTCTATATTACTAACAATCCCTTCCCACCCCTATGGGGGGGGGGGGGGGTAATTGCCACACTGGGTAGACTCATTATTTATTACTACTCTTTACTAAATTTTTTTTTAATATACCAATTCTAATTGGAATTTTTAATGGGTATACAAAGCAGCTTATGTGTTAAATTAGTATATAAACTACTCGTTTGCCAAATTTTATTCCAATTTGTTTAAACGTTTAAGCGTGATTGAGTAACAAAAATTCATTTAAAAAATACTTTACGTGTCACAAACATCCAAATATCTTTTCCAACTTTCACATTTTTAATATAAGTAGAATTAATAGATTTAAAGAATTTATTTTAAAATAAGACAAATCAGTAAATAAAACAATTTGGTTCGAAAATAACTGTATTTGTAAAAGCTGTGTTGTAGTCATTTGATCAGATCACCATAGAACTTCTTATTTTAGTTATGAAGTACTCCTTTCGCTTTTTGGTGACAATATTTGTCAACGGGCACGAGATTACATTCTGCCCTAAATACACTTGTTTTTCTAATATTATCGCAACTTTTAAACCGGTTACATTTCAACTTAACCAATTTCATACATCATACATGGTAACCTCGTCCGTACATATGACAACCAGTAATTACAATTTCATTAAACTACTGTCCCACTTTGAGCGACCATGTAAAACCCTTGTCAATTGAATGAAACCTGTTAAGGCATGGTGAACCAATCAAGCTTTTGATATTAATAAACTATAATTTATTCCAAAAACATTAATTACAGATATAATTTCATACCTATTTCATAACTACCTACTATTAATCTAATCTTTTCCATAACAAAATAATGTATCGAAGTAAATAACTGACGTGTAATAAGTACAACACTTGTGCAAATGAAAATCCTAGTTTTAATTAATTTTAATATTCTTTTTTTTTTCAACATAAAACATTTGCCTTATAAATGATACTACATATATTTAATTATTCGTGAAAGAGTTTTTGTCATTGTATACTTAATTTCTGTCTTAAAAGCTGGCAACACACAAGCGTATTGTGTTGCAGATATTCATGGACGAACAAATCGCTTCATTCAAACGTTATTCATTTTAAATTTACCGTGTTTTTGAACAAAATGGTATTACTAATTCTTAAGTTTCATTATTTAAACATCTTTATTTGACTATTTCCAGCTTCAGCGGCAGTCAAGCCAGCAGCCAAGCTGCATCGTTTCAAGGTCCTGGCGGCTCAGTATCAGGGGCCGCATCATCAGCTTCGTCCATTGCCGGTGGTTTCAACTCAGTTGGATCCGGCAGCCAAAGTGCATCGTCAGCTTTCGGGTTCAATTCGCTCAATGGATTTGGACAACCTGATGTTAGTAAAATATTTTTTTAAACAATTTTAAATTCTTATTTTTGGGACAAGCATGGTACAAATTATAAAAAATTATATTCCCGGAGGTGTATTAGGGACAGAAGACTAACTGTTCCGTAAATAGCCTAACGTGAAATAATAAGTAGGCATTGAGAATTCTTACAACTAAATTGAATTATCGATATTGCTAACAAGTTATTACTTAAGATTAAACAAAGATACTGTCTCAAATGCATTGTAAAAGGTCAGCGGATGTCTCACTGTTATATCGATGTCCACTCAGGACCGTTTTTTAAGGTAGTCTATGGGGAATCTATACAACAATGTATAAGTTGAGTTGTGAAAGTGGATGAAACTAGAAATGAATGCTAGAGGCATTCACCACTCATTTCTCTCTAATTTTCTACTCCGCAAGGGACTTAGCGTGAAAACAGAATTGCAATTGTTTTTGAATTTATAATACATAAGTATTTGAGTTAGGTATGCACTTACAAATTTGCAAACTGCTAATAACGATTATGAGGAACTAGGAACGAAACTAGAAATTTAAGTACTTATAATAGTAAATAAATTACACAAATTATTACATATTCTCTTTATTATATAAATTATGAAACATTTTCGAAATTGCATAATATTACATCTGTACGTAAGACGTTACTGGACTACATATTATTTATTACCTTTTTTATTACCATTCTTATTTCTTTATAACCTACTTATTACTACCACAATTTCATAATTTTGTGTTCTAGAATGTAAACTTTGTCCACGTGGACACCATTTTCATCTGCGCCATTCGCGTAGCGTAAATAGTAATAGTACATATTTTTTTATTTAATTTTTAACGAAGTATTCTTAACACGTGGTACAATGTGGTCTTTTCAATTTGATAAATATTTTTTTTTATAGAGCTAACTTGATAGAGCAATAGAAATATTGTCAATTTGTCACTACAGTAATAGTATATCTTTAAATTATCTTATGACGCAACTGTGATACGAACAAATTAAAATTAATGAAAACGTAACCAAATTTTGAGTCAATAAACATGAAATTAGTAACAAATTGCGATTTTCAATTAATTAATCAATGTTTTATTTAACTTCTATTCAAAAAAACAACAAAAATTATCCGCAAAGAGTCTCATGTTTGACAAATAATCGTTAAAATGAAAAATATTCATTTGTTTACATTTTTATTCAATTCAACTGAAACAAATTATACAATATATGGAACAATGCAAGAAAAGGAATATTAGAAATATAACCAATATAGCAAATGAACTTTTTATAAGACAAAAATGAAACAGTGACCCAACTTGCAACATTGATATTCTTGGCATCGTATTTATAAGTGATGATAGGTGAGAATGAAGTCAGTTTAGTTGATCCATTACAACTTTTGTTGTTTTAATACTGGCTGTTGGCACTGTGGTTTTTTAGAACATGTATTTTAAATTTATTTCTTCTGGGACAGTCTCTTTTTTCTATCTAAGTTTTATGGCTATGGATACAAATCCTATGTTTTTCCACTAAATTGAGAATACATTATATTACAAATACATATACATTTCACTACTGCATTCTGCTGTTGACATCAATAACAAATTAAACGCGATGAAATCTGGGAAAGAATATCAACGATCTGGACAGCATAGTAATACATTATATTTTGCACTTATGATCAGAACCATAGAATGTTCTTAGGTTATTAAAAAATGAAGAACTAATACTTAATATTATTATTAATAATAAAAATAACTCACTTTTTCAGGGGAACTTTGGTGAAGGTCTCCTTGACATCAGACATCGCGGAGTCCCGAATTTCCCAATTCCAGATCTGTTGAGAAAAGGCAATGCCGTCGGCGCATCTGCTTACAGAAAATTGGGACCGAGGACGAGGAGTGGAGATGACTTCATATCTGTTTTCGTGTCTAATTAAGAAATAACTAAAAGGCCTTGTTTTGTTACTAAATTTTCTATGTTGATTCATAGGAATGTACTCAACCATCACGAACACAGATTAGGAATTTTGAAATAAGCCCAGTGAAATTATACAACGATCCAGTAAATCAAACTTTTGAAAATAATGTCTTGAAGAACTCTTATTGACTGAATTATTTTTTATTCTTTATAATTTATTTAATAACATTTAAGTGGGTAATTTAACAGTTGGGTTAAAAATCGCTTTACTCAAATAAATTTTAATATAAATTTTAAGAAGCCAATCAATCATGGCGAAATATATTAAATTATAGAACGAAATAATTCTCGAACAGTTGCTTTTTAATCCTCCTGATGAAATACTTATTAAAACTGCGAAATTTATGAATTGAAACAAAAATAAAAATAGAAACGTGTTGAAATTCACAAAAAAATGCAGTGATAATAGAATGCGTCGATTCACTAGTTGTTGACTAGTCTTGAATTATTTTAATTATAGATTTTATACGGTGCTTTTGATTACTAATGCACATAGCATTAGTAGTTCTTAATGTATGTCTGATTAATTTAATTAATTTATTCTCGTGGTTATAAGAATATCATGTATATGTACCCATGTGCTCTCTAAGAATGAGCTGAACTTGACAATTAAGAATACTTTGTAATTGTAAAAAGGATGTCAATGTTAAACAGATAGATGTTAGTAGTCGATAGTCGAATACAATTTTATTATTTATTTTTATAAAATATTTTAGAATAAGATGTTATTTATTAATTTAAAATATAGACAATACCAAATCGTAACAATCTTATGTTTTCAAATACACCCATACCTTATATTACTGTATATTTATTAACCAATTTGTGGCAAAAAATGTAAAAATATTCTTGTAAATAACCTGGTCCTTAAGCTAGAATAAAAAGTAGTTAACAATTAACTATAAACTATGAACAGCACTCAGAACTAGCTCCTGTTTGTCTATTTTAAGTTGATTTAAAAAAAAATATTCATATATTTACACTTTATTGCACCATTTATAAAAATAATAATTAAAATAAATTTTAAAAAGTAATGATATAAAATTAACAGGGAAAATGAAAATATTTTTAAAACAGACTGTGATTCAACAAAACTTTGGTGACGAGATAAGTTGATAACTTTTGATCACCAGTATCCTGTATCATACACATGTATCCTGTCTGATCAAGTATTTTTTTTTCTATGTATGTATTTCAGTTAGTCTGTAAAATCATGTTCTTTGTGACTATGTATGTATGTACATATTTTTTCTTTAATTAGCTATAACCCAACGTCTGTTACGAGCTTATTATCTATTTCCAGTCATTTAAAAAAATATGTTTATGAAAATTGAAAAAAAATTATGAACCTGATAGATGACCCTCATGCGGTACAATTCCTGGGAACTAAGATGATAATGATGATGATTGGAAGTAGAGTTCCAATCTCCAAATCGAAATATAAAATTCAGATTCCATCATGTTTATACTAATAAGCAGTTGCGCTTAGTAGTATAAATATGATGGATTCGAAACGGTACAGTGTGGTATGTATGTTTACAAATAGTCAATCATCATGCATCATGTTTGTTCGTTCAAGAAAATAAATAGTTTCTTAAACGACGTAATGATTACAACATACAATGTTATCGATTTCAAACATTAAATCATTTTAATAGGAAAATCTGTAAAAATAAAACAAATTAAACTTTGACTGCTTCGACAAATAATAATAGTGCACGAGCAAACAGGAATTCCGTCTACACGCAGCAGTGACTGAAGACAGTGGGTGGAAGAGTCACGAGATATTTAAGTGGGCACCATACATTTGAAAATTTCAATACTGTATTTTATTTATTTATTTAAATTTTAATGCACAGTATAAATATATGTACATTTGGAGAACTTAACACTGGATGGTCTTCTCTACTATTTAACCATTGAGCAAATAGAGAAATATGTAGGCGGTTCATTCAAGAATTAAGAAAACATAAAGTAATACTTAACATATTTATATATTATAAACGTATAATATATATTTTAGGATTACATTCGTTCCAGAAATAAACTTACAACTATACAGTAGCGCCTGAACAAATATTTGCAGACTTACCATTTAAATAACATCTAAATAAAACCAATAGGCGTTTGTAATTTTAATCTATAAAATGTCGCTCGAAATGAAGGTGTAATTTTTAATATTGCTAATAATTAATTACAACCTTATTGTTATTAAAAACTAAAGTTAAGCTATATATAAAGGACAACAGCAATTTCAGCAGCAATATTATTAAAAGAAAATTTGTTAATGTTTTACTTAACCCCTTAATGTTTTACTGCTAAAAACATTATTAATATCATTATTACTTTATTTATGCTAATATATTCAATAATATAGTGATCAATAATCACTAATATCACGCTTGGCACCTAATAACAATGCATTTTTTTTAAATGATTTTCTACTAATTTCTCTCTGAATATGAATATATAGTTACTGATCTTAATATAAATTTATATTTTTCAATACTATATTTAAAATTTCAGTTCAACTTTTATAAACCTACGTCCACAATCATTCAGACCGGTTTGCATCATGTGGATATAAATAGCTCGAATACTTTGTTTTGTTTTAACATTCATTCGATACATTTAGTCAATTATCTGGTTCTTTAATAAATATAGGTAATAAAGTAATTTAAAAAATACTTTATTATTGTGATGATGATGATAATGATGTAATCAGCCATTAACTGTTCACTGCTGAACATTGTTGAAAAAACCTTGAGGGGTTTTATACTAGCAATAGCCTTGGCAGGCGGGTTGGTAACAGCAGTTAACTTTTAGTTAAAAGAGCAGCTACTCACCCTCTCCCCCTCCCCATGCCCCAATATGGAGAGGCCTTGGAGGCAGTGGACAGTTAATGGCTGATATGAAGATGATGATGATGATACATACCATCTTTCAACCATTAAAATATTATTATACACAAAGATAATTTTAATATTCTACATTCTGTTTATTTTAAAATATATGCTAGGTGTTTTAATTGCTTGCCATAAGTCCCCGCTGTTTAGATTCTCTAGAAGCTAAAATACTTAGTCAAAGACTATTATAAATTACAAAATATATTATTTTGTTACATTTTTAATAATTCTAATTGTAAATAAGTGAGACAAATTCAAATCAACTAGTTGATCTTCAAATATTATGTAATATGAGAAACACGTGATTACCGACATAGTTATAGTAGGCTACGAATATATCCAATTCTTATTGGAATCCATGCTTAGCTTTGAAACGATACTGCAAAGGTAAGTCACAGGTATTGTCACAGATTCTCCAGAATCATGTAACCAGTACTTCTTATTAAAAAAAAATATTAATTACACGTACATACATATATGGGACAAAAGGCGAAATTAATGCTAATAACATTCTCTTTTAGTTAACCTATTAATGTATACATTAGAACACAAATATCAAAATGTAATAGACCGAACCTAATTCTTTGTTCGTGATTTTCTATTAGATGGATCAGACATTTGTAAACCAAAATATATGTATGCAATCTATTAAATTTAGAACAGGTATTATAAAGATAACAGTAACTAGTTGAACTGGTTTTTTGTCGCCTTAATTAATAACAGCGTAGAGTAGTAATCTTTGTACAAACAGTCATCGTTTACAGAAATCAAAGAAAATAGGGTATTTATTTTCATTAAAATATTATCTTTCGTTATCTAAGATGTCACTGTACCTCACTCTTACTAATTTCACGTGCGTTCATTTTTAGATTCGTTACGTGTATTGAAATAATGAAATTTTTAGTCTTTTTTATATATTTTTTAAATACCAGAGGAAGACTTTGTACAAAAGTCGATTGCTTGGGTACCTCCGTCCCATTCGTGTTTCTACCGTGAAGCAGTTGTGTTGGCATGGCTGTGTTTCGGTTTGAAGGGTGGGATATGACGTGAATTTATTGGGTACGGAAGAATAACATCTGAGTTCTCAGAAATGGCAACGCATGGGGGGTATCATGGGCGAAACAGTATACTCTGTTATGTCCATGCTACTGCTCATGTCTATAGGCGACGGTTACCACTTTCCATCAGGTGGGCCGTCAGCTTATTTGCCATTCTAAGTTGTATAAAAAAAAATAATAATAATTGTACCGTGAGTATGTATATACTTTTATTTTTATAATATAATATTTGTAATTGAAATGGTGATTACGATTAGATAATTATTATAATTTTTTTTAATGAATGTGTACGATTTCATCTTCATATAATAGAATATAAAATATCCTAAATTCATATATTTAGAATATTGTTTATTAGTACAACAAATTTCATTCTGATCTCTTCGGCTGTAACTGTAAATAGCTTTACAAACTTGAACATTTGTAGTACAATGAGATATATAATTTTTTATGTGCAACTTCAGTGAGACTATTGACTGTCTGAAGGTTGACCTCTGTAAATTCTATACTCTGTGGCTAGTTACGTTGACTGAGTTTATGTAGAAGATACTTCTGACATTTCCAAGAGTTAAGGACAGAAATAAAAGCTGTTGACGAGTATATTAAGGTTAAATACTGCCCATGGGTTTTACCAGACTTAAAGTTTACACGTGTTATATTTTTTTTTTCTATCTATTTCATTGCAGAAATCATCTGCGTTATGAGCCTCTAAAACATTTCATTACAATCTGACAATACTGACAAGGGTTACCCCTTGTCTGTACTGTCTGTCAGTACTGTCAGATTCTGATAAAATGATAAATAAACAGATATTATTTGAAAATATTTTATATATTAATAATACCTATACATAATCAAACTAAACTTATGTACCTACTATATTATACTATCGTTTATATATTTTATGCCATAACCAAATTATATCTTGCTTTATATTGATCTTCGACAATTTACGAAGAGCAAGTTCTTGATTTTGATTCAAGCTTCCGTAAATAAAGTTTTCTGAATATAAATTAATTTCTTATTGCATTTTTTTACAAGCGTCTGGCTTCAATAAAATAATAAAATATAGATTAAAAAAATAAAGTATAAGTGTTGAATCTATCTGAAATATTTATCAAAATTAAAATATCGTGTCGTGTTTAGGCAAGAATTTTATAAGACTGTATGAATACAAATCGCAAGATCGTGTAAAGTATCTAAGTTTTTTTTTTTAAACAGGAAAATTAATCTCAGATGGCAACAAAGATATTAACCATTCTGTATGGGTTTTCACATACATAGAATAATGCCCTGTATATTATTACTGTACTTCATTGTATTATAACAAATGGCAACCACAAAAATAATTTCACGTAAAAGAACGCAGCCCACATCCTGTCCACTTACACTGCTACTAAGTAGATTGTTATTGTTTTTATAATCCTTGCTATTTTTATATAAACTTATTTATAATTATTGAAAGTAAGTTTGTTTTGTATTTATTTATTTACTTGTTACCTCTTACCACCTTGATAAACTAATCAAACATAATGAAATTTGTCATACTTTTTGAAATTGGGAAGAATACAGACTACTTATTCCCAATTAATAAATTTATTCCAATCACGTGAACGAAATTACAAGAAATATACTAATAAAAGAATAATTAAAAAGATTAATAACTTTTTTAACTTAATATTATGGTTGTAATTCAAAATAGCAAGTGAGTATAAAATGTATTTCAAATAATTATATTCCATTCTCTATCTTAGAACATTCGTGTTTTTAAATTAGTTACAAAATATATATTCGAATATATAATGTGACATAATAGATAATAAGATTTTACATATTTAAAATAAGTAAAATCTTAAGATATAATAATTAACTACAGAATAATGATAATAATAAATTATTTAATAAAGCCAATAACCCCATTCAGACTAAACATGCCGTAAAAAAAGAGAAACCAATCAATGAATTATACGATTGCAACGCTGAACATGCAAACCTTAAGCCAATTTAAAGTTCTTTCTTAGGTAGTTGAACCTATCAAAAGTTTAACAAAGCAACATGTTTGGCTAACAAGCTAGAAAAAAAAACTCCTTGTTGTACACGAAATGAAAATACGTAGAATATTAAAGAGTTTTAAATTAAAGAATAAGAATAAACTTTTTTAAAAATAATAACGCGTTTGCGATAAAAAAAAGAACAATCAGATATTCATCATCATCATCATCATATTAGCCCTTAACTGTCCACTACTGAACATAAGTCTCCCCCTTTGGTGGTTTTGCCAGTAGTTGCTACGCTTAGTAGGCGGATTGGCAACGGCAGTTAGGCGGGGGGAAAGGGATTTGGAGATGTTTTAAGAGAAGCGCTGCTGCTCATCGCTCGACCTCCTCGTGATTCCCCCTAAGGTATCATTTTACAACATAATCATAATGGACTAACTGGCCTGTTTTCATTCTCATCTAGACCACACGGCAATAAAAAAAAAAAAAGTCACATATTACTATAATAAAGAATAATGTTAAATTCTTTAGTCAAGATTCATTTTCTACATACAATACAATAATAGTCGTAAATAAAATAAATTCTGTAGCGCAACTTCTTACAAAGTAACCTTTAATTAAATTACTACAACTAATTTTCTTTGCTGAAGTAATTCTTCTATTACAATTACTGACTTCATTTCGCGACGTCATGCAGTATCCTTGTGATCATGACAATAGAAATGGCACAGCACGAATATAAAAAATGCTAACACATGGTTGTCATGTAAAATGATCATCAATAACGTTATCCAGGATATACCATTGAGTCATATGACAAGCCTCCAGCTTACAAATTACTCTCAAGTTGAGACATTCAACCTACCTAGTACCTACAAGCAAATTATTTTATTATTCAACATCTGTTGGACTATCCTATGTCACTGGATTTATGGTTTCAATTTAGTTTGCAGTAATTTTTGCTTAGTTTTTTTTTTTTTATGAGCTATGGAATTAATATAGAGCTACGAAGATTTATTTCATTTTACAAAAACCAATGGATATAAAATACAATTAACTACAATTAACTATTACTTTTACAATTGCATTTTTTTATAATCTAGATGTAATTTGGATTAGTAAACGCGAGGAGCTTCATTTGCTTGAATTTGATTATATCACTGTTGGTCATTTTTTGTATGGTTTGTTCAATTAGGACCCCATTTGTCGATTGTTGTATAGAGCCCTAAATTAATTATATGCTTCCTAGATCGTGAAAGAACTCAAAATTACAATCCAAATAACATTAGCCCGTACTTGGCTACGAATATTTTTACTGTTTGAGTAATATCGAATATATCGAATAATTTACTGTATAAGTTCAACATTTAGATTCATCTATTATGGTCATCTATTTATTGGTGCTCTCAAACACCTGTCCGAATATTGATAATACAGCAGATTTCGAAAACTTGTTTTTATAGAATTTTTTTTCAGGGTGAACTAGATAAGAAGATTTATGATAATTTCATCATGATTACAATGTCAAATTGATCAGCATGTATAAAGATGAAACTTGACATTCGAGTTTCATCAGTGATTTGGGTGTTTCGTGTCCACAAATTAGAGTATTAATTATAATAAAAATGGTGAAACATATAACTTTTGCTTTAATTTTACTTAGCGCTTTATACATTGTTACTTCTTGGAAGATATTTCCTTTAGAAAATGTAGAAGCTACAAAAGCCGTAGAAACAGTAAAAGGAGTTTCACCTTATAAGACTTATAATGCAACAACAGCTCCTGCTATTGGAATCTCAAAAGCGACGCCTACAACAACACCAAAATTAAAAACTCATGTAGAACCAACTGAATCGACTTCTAGATTTTCATTTAAACAAGTTTCAGGATCAGTGTCATTCGATAACAAAAGGAATTTATCGTCAAAGGATGTGAAATCAACTTCTGTATCAACAATTAATAGATTATCAGCAAACAAACCCTCAAGAGACCTCCTTCCACCAAAGGTAAGAGTTTAGTTTTAAACTCCAATCTTATAACACAATTAAGGGATATTAAAATGTAATAAAAATATATTTATCTAATCTTTTATAATCATATTTTTATTAGGTACTTTATAACTCAATTCTTCTTCTTTGACATAAAAGCCATTTTTAATATATTTTTTTTCGCGTTTGATCCAGACAAATAGTGTATACAACAATACATTTAAATTTATTGAAAAAATTCTTTTTTATTTCATAATATGGTAATTTTTATTTAAACACACATACCAAGACGATTGAGTTATAATACTGATAACTAGGAATCAGTTCAAAACAGTCTCTTTAATATTCCATCCACATATATAGCAGTAATAAAATACGAACCAGTAATGCATGTTACATGTTTTAAAATGGAGAATACAAGCATAATTTAAATAAACTTACACATAACAACAATAAAATTATGTAAGGATTTATTTAGTCACAATTCGTAAGTGCTCATTTTATTTCATTCATATACAAGTAGATTCCGTTATTGTAAACATGTTATTATGAGTGTAAATCATATTTAGTTCAATATATTTATTCTATAACTAGTTTTTATTCATGACTTCGTCTGCATGATATGAATTATATTGATTGAAAGATATAATAACTTAAGATTCTGTTTCATAAAAAAACCAACTGAAATTGTAGGAAAATCAGTTATTTTAATTTCAAAACTAAACTGCTATACCGATTTTCATAAAATTTCTGTGATAGTCACACAGGATTTTTTTACAAATCTCTAAGTACGAATTTTATGCTATGCTAGTTTTTACCCGCGATTTTGTCCGCGTGACGAGAATATATTTACTAACCGAGATAAAACTGAACTATATTTTTTTCCGTTCCATCTAGTACGTGTATACCAAATTTTATAGTAATTAGTTAAGACAAAGCTCTGTAAGGCAACACACAAACACACTTTTACATATATAAACAGTAAACATGGTATTGTTATATCTATGATACTATTTATAAATTAGTAAGTATTAGTCATTAAATAGTCAATGAAACAATAACAAATTGACTACTCGCGTATTTTCTTTTAAATTTTAATGGGTTCTAAATTAAATTGTATGGATATGGCACGCTTGTGAATTTGTCACGCATATTAATTATTTAATTTGCATAATGTTTATTACAATTTGTTACATCTTACTAACTTAATAAAATTGTAATGAGACAATGTCTGTGCATGGATGAATTTTTTACAATAATTTTTAGACAATGATTTTTAGAAATTTTATCTGCCAGTCTGTCTGTCTAACCATTTTTATATTACTTCCGGCATCATGCACTAAATTGTATGTAGTTTACACACTTGTGTTTGTTAAAGTGTAACTTAAAATCTAGGTTTCATTTTGATACGCCATTTGGAACTGATATATTTTATAAGGTTTAGACTTCATGTACGAAGTAGCTTGCTAAAAAGTTAATTATTATTAAAATTGTTATTTAAAATCTGCATGTAATTGCAAAATGTTAATTTAGAAATAGACAATGTCTGGCAATATCAGACCTCCAATCCGGAGACCACTAAGTACCTATTTATATATCTATGATCTAACCTATGTAATCGTATGCTTCAAGTTAAACATATAAAGATTAGGTTTTTTTGTGAATTCTGACTATCTGACAATATCTTACATTAATGCAAATAGCATTGCATACTCGTACATTACAATGTACATGCTACAGAATAACTATTTGAACGGAGCAGTTATGTTGCTAGTCGGTGGCAGAAATGGCAAAACATTTGTCCTCTGGCCATTGATAGATATCACGCAAAGACGTTTAACCATCAATATCTCCTGATATTATAAAATAATTATAGATTTTTTCTAACTTAGGTAAGTAACATAGAAAAGGAGATAGATAAGTACCTATCTAGAAAAGAAAAAGAGGTACCTATCTCCTTTACTATATTGCATATAGAAATATTTTTATTATATCAATACATTGAGAATTGACGTTAAAACCATATCAACCATTAATTGTCCACTGCTGAACATAGGCCTCCCTCTATTCGGGGCTTTGTCATACTTGGGAGGCAACCGCAGTTATGGCCTTGGAGATGTTTTAAGAAGGATGCTGCTGCCCATACCTCGACAGTTGTTTCCTTAGTGGACTCCTATGACACCCACAGGAAAAGAAGGGGTGGCCTATTCTATGAAGAGACCACACAGCGATCGTATAATTTCATCATACTCACTTTATATTATCAATGTAAAAGTGAGTTTGCTTATTATGTTTGCGCCTTGACGGTTTAATCATTGACTATGAAATTTAGCATACACGTACTGTAAAGATATCCCCATCATGCGGGCAAAGTCACGGGTAAAAGATTGGAATAAATCAAAATGAGAATGTTTTCTATGTCTTAATCATTTTTGTTACTAGAAAGAGCAGCAAAAAAAGATTAAAGAAAAAAGGTTTTAAATAAAAGCTTGGAGAAATTAGGATAATTTTATGGACTTTTAGGTAATACTTTTGTTATACGTAAACCCTATAGATATATCTAAATACAATAAAATATATGAATGAAAGTAGCAAAACAGAGAATGAGGCAAGGGATGATTAGGGTGACCCTGAGTAGGAGCGTTGACAATTCCGTTGACAGTCCAGGGATCTTTAGATCGAATTCAAGTCTGAATCTCTGAAGTTTCAAAATCATGTTTACTTTTATTACAAAAGCAATTTCACATTTTTATTAATTTAAAAATAATAACATTAATTAATATGTTTGTTTCAGGAGGATACGAGTGAAACTTCTAGTAACAAAATTTAGTATTCACCACAATATTAGATCAGAATATTATTTGTAATTATTGTATAAATAATTTTTAGATATTAACGTTACTATCTATTTATAAGTAGTCTATGTTTGGTAATTACATTGACGGAATAAAATTTCTATCAAATAACTTTTAAGAATTTAATACATCCTGTACTTATTTTAATAAATTCATAATGTATTTTATTGTGTTATTTAATTTATATTATTGATTAATTTATTAGTCTATATAATAATACCATAATAAAGTTTTAAGCTAATTTTTAAATTACTCTAATGAAAGATATTAAGAAACACTCAATAATTATACAAAAAATACCAGGTTTAATATTTTAATGAAATAAAATGGTTTTTGTATAATACTATCTACCCTCATACAATATGAAATAAAAAACAATTTAAAGACACGCCTGAAGAAAGGGGTAGTAATAGTTTACTAGTTTAATCTTAGTAGATTAGGGTAAGAATAAGATTTCATGCCTTCGTACCCTGTAACTTCACTGCCATATCTCACCTAAACACTGTCATAGTTTGGAGAATGGAACAATGTACCCCGAAGACGGTCTTTCAACCGACATCAAAAATAAGGAGATTCCAAATTTGGTTGTATTATTTTTGTTGTTACCTTATAACTCGCTCGATGCCAATATAATAATAATGTTATTTAATACAGTTTTAAAATATATATAAGATATCATCATCATCATCATCTTCGTTTCAGCCATTATCCGTCCACTACTGGACATCTGGCTGACTGACTTCCCCCATAAACTGCCATAAGGAACGGTCCCGACCAACCTGCATCCACTGACTCCCTGCAATGCATATGAAGTCGTCCGTTGAGTAATTTGAAGCTTTTGTATACGAGCGATTGTGTAGTGTCATGTTTCGGTTGCATAAATCATCACTGGTAACACGCATTGGATAAAGACCTTCGGCTTTAAACTCTGAGATACTTTGAATGAAAAGATGTGGCGTAGTTTTCCGAACGCTGCCCAGCCGAGTTAGATTCATCGGTTGACCTCTCAGTCGAAGATTTATAAAATATATAAGTATTTAATTAACTTTGCTATTCAATAATTGTATGTTATTTATTTATGAAGTAATATCATCACTATAACCAAATCACATTACATGTTTGTTTTACGAAATCAACATTTTTTACATCTATAAAATGTAAAAATATCGTCATCGTTAGATAAAATTCCAATGTATTTATCTTCCGAAATTATTAAAACCAATCAAATTTTGTTATATTTATAATATTTATTCTTATCAAAAAAATTAGGGCTTGTATGAACTAACTTTTTTTGAGCATTTAAATTTATTTTTTAGTTTTCGCTAATATAAAAATGTTTGCAAAAGCATTTGGAGTTGCATTACTTCTGTCTATCCCCATGGGAGATATTATTATATTAGCCGTTTACTGTCTACTGCTGAACAAAGGCCTCCCCTATTTTCTGGGGGGTTTGGCCAATATATGTGATCATATGTATGACAATTTTTTGTAGAAAAAAATAAATTTTGACACCTTATTAATAAATACTAACAACAATTGCAAGTAATGAGTTAAGATAATATACTTACAACATCGTGGGGATTAAATGTAGTGTGCCTTCTTACAGTCACTACTTAATCATTTAAACGAATTAATTACCTATCTATTAGCTATTAGCAGTAAGATAATGGATGTATACCATTAGATCATAATACATACCATAAGATCTCCGCAAACACATATATTGCGTCATACCTGTAGTTTATTATCTTCATTCACCAGAAAAACCACTTCGACGTGGGGAAATACTATATAAGTATGTAATTAATTACTGCAAACTATTTACCTAATATTTTTAATACTACTTTATACTATTTAGAGTAGGAAACTTATAAATAGAGATATTTAAAAAGAAGTTTTTATGATTGTTAGTCAATCTTTAAAGTGACAATGGGTTTAATTGAAATTTGATATACAAACAAAGCATGTCTTAATAATATAATAAAATTGTAACTAGACGACATACAGACGACATGTACAGACATAAGAAATAAAATAGAGATAAATTCAATAGAAGCTAACACAATAATTTTCAGAATTTTGTCTATCTGTCTGTATGTATGTACCATTTGTATGTATGTTCCAATATCACACAAAAGCTAATGCATCAAATTGAAAACATTGACAAGCGGGTTGGCAACCACAGTCAGACTTTGGTAGTGTTTTAAAAAGGGCTCTACTGCCCATTCCTCGACCATTAAATTTTCTTACTCGAACGTCCTCTTACGGCACCTACGGGGAAAGAAAGGTGGCTCATTTTAGAAATGTGTACTATTAAGTAACTCGTTAACTTAGTATTGTAATCGTAAGAATGATATCTTTATGGAAAGATTTTCTGTTCTTATGATTTATTAATTAGTAGGTACAATTAATTATTTCTTACATACCTACTTACAACTGACGTCATTCTTTTCTATGAACAATAAAATCTCCACTTAGTTAATTGCTCTATATGGCACTGTAGACAGCGCGTTGTGGCATGCGACATTTCTAGAAAAATGTTAAAGAGGTAGGCTAGTTTTTTGTTGTTCATATTTTTGTTTCCACTGTATTTCTTAAAAAGTTTTATTTCTGTTATTTCAATTTAATTTGTTTTATGTTTATTTCAATGTTAGTTGTATACCGCGACAATCATTAATCCTTACTAATATTATGAACGTTAAAGTGAGTTTGTTTGTATATTACCCTATAGCACCTTAACGACTTAACGAATCACTATGAAATTTGGCATAAGCCTACTATATGGGATAGGGAAAAATATAGCTACTTTTTATCACGATCAGAAAACATAATCCGGTCATACAGACAAGTCGTGGGTAAAAGCTAGTATAACATAAGTTTAAAATAAAAATTAAAATAAATCTTATGATTCAGGTTAGGACTAAACCTATCCGTATACCAAATTCCATTTAAATCCGTTCTTTATTTACTTTTTTTTTATTTATTTATTTAACATTTAATACTTTTTTTTATGTAAAAGAGTAATATTCATTCATACAAATATTCGCATTTATAATAGTAAATAATAATAATAATTTGTAATGTAGTAAGGTAAAGAGTAAGTATATATTTAACTTGGTTTCCATTTCCAGACGGGCTGAATTAGGAATAAAATATTTCTGAATTGGCTCGGATATAGGTGTTCACAACACAATTGGGGGACACCCCCCAATATCCGTAACCTGGTTCCTCATAATAGCAGATATCTTAGCATTAATATCAAGAGGGATTGTTTGGCATTTATATTTATCTAATATATATTATATTACTATATATATGTATAATAATAAACTTATATGAACTTCAATAGACATTGCATAGTATGCAGATATACTTCATTCACATTCTGCTTTCAGTGTACCTAATACTGCCGTATTTTTGTAGCGAGGTCTTTGATTCGTTCGCAAATAGAATTCATAATGGATTCTACCTTCGGGAAATACGGTTTACGTAATGCATTACATATCCATAAAGATATAAGCTACTGGATTTATAATAAATAATAGTAATTAATTGAAATGATTAAACCGAAGTTTTGAGTTAACTCGATAAAAACAAATTGAATGACGATGTATACACATTTTTATATAGCCACGTGTATATAACTTTAGAAAAAAAAACAGTCACGATTTTAATAGAATTGAATGATATGCCTAATGCTTTATAAAGTGTTAACACAAGTAATAACTAAATTCTTTTATAACCGTAACAAATTTTTAATGATATTCCAATTATAACTTATATAAAATTCATACTTATTCCTTTTTTATATTATATTCTTTTTTTTTTTTTTTTTATACAACTTAGAATGGCAAACAAGCTGACGGCCCACCTGATGGAAAGTGGTAACCGTCGCCTATAGACATGAGCAGCACCATGAACATAACAGAGCACACCGTTTCGCTCATGATACCCCCCCTGCGTTGCCATTCCTGAGGACTCAGATGTTATTCCTCTGTACCCTGTAAAACTACTACTACTTTTAAGTAAAAATCCTGTCTCTATTTCCTAATTATACGAATAATTTAATTAATTTTAATTAATACAAATTCACATTTTGTCGCAAATCTTGTTTAAATATGCTACTTCGCCACTTAGTAATTTTGGTAAAGGTTATAATAACATGACCTTGTGTTCTTATTTCCAATTTAAACAAATACCAAAAGCCTGTCTGTTTTGTTTTCTACAATTGTTATTTGATATATTAATCATGTTATTTGCTAATCGTATCTCAACTCAGAGGTACCATATTTTACTCACTGTAGTGGGTAAGTGCAAATATTTTATATTACTTATTTCTAAAACGACTTCTGTCATATCAGTTACCATATTATTTATAATTATTATAACTATAAAAGTCAAAATTATTCCAAAACTGATTTGGACTGTCAAGTTTTATTAACTTAAAAAATACTTAACCTTCCACACTTATAAAAAGCTACATCAATCAGCAAATAACACTGGCTATATTCTATAGTTAAAAAAGCATGCAAAGTTGACGTTAGCCGCTCATATTTTATTGAAAAGTATTATAAAATCTCTAAATTACTTTATTAAGTTATATACTCTTGCTAGAGAGAAGGTAAATGAACTATGAGGAAGGAAAAGAAAATATAAAGAAAACAGGTAAAACAACCATAACCAAGAAAAGCAACCATACCTACCAAATAAAAACAGACAATCTGACAAGACGCTATATAAGAACGTCTCGAAGTTATTACAAAAACATTTGAACGACGCACTTACATATTTAGAAACGTTATTAAATATGAAGCATTTGATTTTTCTAATATTTCTTGCGCAGTATGTTTATGGGAAAGAAACAGTTTATTATGCAGCCAAAGGAGGTGACCTTTTTGATTTGATACGTGGAATTCCTCCGAAAAATGGCGCCTTAGAACTGAGTAAAGTGGACAAGAATACTCAAGACACACTGCCTGATGGAATATACTATATACCACCTGAAGATGAAGTATTTGCATCTGAACCACACCTCTTGACGTTAGATGTGAGTGACTTTAACTGTATTACCATTTCAATTTAAAGTACGTTAAATTACAAATTTTAAAAAATTATGACCATTAAAAATTTTAATGTTAAATCCTTTTTTCATTGGTGCAATTATTTGATATATTGAATAAAACATAAAGTCTAAGCTATTTATGTATGTATTTAATAATATTATCTCAACCCAGGTAAATGCGAAGAAACCGGTGGATAACGACAAAAAACCAGTTTCAACGGCAGACGAGCATAATAATCATGATTCATGAAGGAAACCTTGAAATAATTATATGTTCTTTAATATAGTTATGTACTTGATATTGATTGAATTAAACTATAATCATGAAGCACAATAAATATTGTCTCTCTGTACCGTGTATATTCTTGAATGTAAGAAGTATAGTATCTATATAATGGATAAGATAGAAACCAAAATATGGCAAAAGTCCTATGATATCATGGAGATTCTAAATAGAAATGATACAAAATCTGAAATAGAATTAGCAATGGGTTTGGCTATCAGCTAGCAGCTATAAAAGATGCAATTAGTAGAAGATCCTTCATGCCTCAAGAGCATAATTGTATTATTATATTAGAACAATTATATCCAACTTGTGGTCCAGGCATAGTATAGACTATCTTTTCCTTTTCCGTATATATTGTAAAAAGGGACTAACGAAACTTAAAAGACGAGGGTTGGGCAGCAGCATACTTCTTTGAACACCAAAACCTAACTGCGGTTGCCAACGAGCCTGCCAAGCATAGCAACTACTGACAAAACTCCCCAAGATGTCTATGTTCAGCAATGCGCAGCTATCGACTGATATGATGATGATAATTATATACATTACTAGTATAGTGTTACTATATTTACAACTTCTATGCCTACTGTAACTAACCCCGACGCAAGAAAAATATAAAGCTTGTCCTATAATGTATCCATGCCATATTTATTCCAATGAATCATAGATTAAATTTATAATAATCTTGCCAAAAATATAATGAAAATAAAAAATACTCCATATTTAATGAAAAGTTTTTTCTTTTTCAAAATTACAGTACTTTTTTAATAATTAAGTGCCTAATTTTGGTTTGGGTGCGTAATAATAAACAAAACAAAGGGCAAATCTATCAATATATATCTTGATATAATGGTTTCATTCTACCATACGATCCTAGAGGTTTCAATCGTAACACAACCCTTAAGAATTTTGATGTTGTTTAACTTTGTTAACCATATAAACGTGATGTAGCTTACTAAAATGTTATTAAAAAGTTAGTAATAGATACTACGTAAATACCTATATAAAACTTGCTAAAATTAGATACAAAAAGTCGAGGTTACGTGTTGTTAGTCAAAAACTGGTAATTATTATTTCATTGCGAGTCGTTTATGGGTTTTAGTCAGTAAAATTAATAAATTGGCTACACTTTTTTTATATTGTATTTCAGTAGATTATAACTGACAACTTCACATAGACCCGACATCTTTTCAACAGCACAGGTGATTTATGATGACGATGATTATGAATGATACATTGGAAAAACATATCTTGAAGCCAACACGCCCAATACCTTTTAACAAGACATGCAGCAAAAAATACAAGATAAATTTTCAAACGGACTTTCTTGTTATCACGTTAATCATAACGAGAAATCCCTAAAAACAAAAGGAGCTATAAATTATGTCAATCATTTTATAAAATCGTGATGTTATTGAATGAGCCGTGTATAAATAAAGCTCAGTGCTTATTTCATTGAACATTCAATGTTAGACACGATGAGGATTGCTTCTGGAACGATGAATTTGGCATTAGTAATAATTGTTTTAACTTCATACACTGTGAGTGGATTGATAGTGAATGGTACTGAAGATCGAGTGGTTTTAGTAGCACCAGTGTTAGCAGCACCCAAAGATTCCAGAGCAAGAGGTGCGGATACAGAAACTGCAAAGGACTTTCCTATATTAATGCTTCTGGCTACTGGTGATAACGTAACTAAAGAAGAGGAACCTAAAGGAGAGCCTCAACCAATCTACGTCCAAGTAAGTAGCAAATTCATAAACGTAAACATTGTTTATTTGTGAAACTAAGATAATTATACTCATTTGTCACTTTCAGAAACTGGAGGATCAAAAACTTCCGCAAACACGGCGAAGAAGATTCTCGAAAATGTTAATAAATCTTACATATTAGAATGCCTTGCAGTAAAGGATCGATACTAATAATGCAATTATATCATTAATAGATATTTAAAATTAATGTAAATATATCAATAAATAACTAACCTAAAATGAGATCTTTATCATTTATAAACTTAAATCCTTAGATTATAAAAATAGAGTGTCTCCATAAACATGCTTCAAGAATAGCGGGCAAACTTTTTCATACAGTTTTGCGTGTTAAATAATTACGAGTAAATCCTTTATAACTTCTATATTTTTTATTTAATTGTTTTTATTTAATTTTATATTTTTTGCATATTCTGAATTCGTAAAAACTCATTTTATTTATTAAATATTTAAATATAGATACATCAAGATACACTGTGTGCGTAAATATATAGAACACTGATAAAAAAACTAATAAGCTAATTTGACAATTAGCTGACAAATAATTTGACCCGTTTTGGAGGCTCGATGCTTTATCTATATAATGTAAGCTTAAATCATATACAAATTAAATTATATAATGAACTATATTATATAATTAAGGAAAAAAAAAATAAAGAGGTCGTCAAAGAGGTTTTAGAAAAAAAACTGCAAAAACATACCTACAATGAAATTAGCCTTTAGACCATTAACAAATGAGGTAGAACATTTTTATTCATGTACTTTTTGTGATGATATGAGCAAACTAAATAGGTAGCAGTTTTATTCAGTTGGACACTGTAAACTCTTGTAAAGGTTATATAAGTGGCTAGTTTGAAGCAATTAGGAAAAAATAATGTAGGAAATTGCTCTACTGATAATCTCTACACAAGACTGTAACGAGGCATATAAAAGGTTCAGAATACGAGTATGTCCCTATATTACAGTATTAGTATTGTGCAGTTCCTACAATCATCCTCAAAATGAATATTCAATTATTTGTGTCAGTATTATATATTTTATTGAAATTAACAGTCGATGTGGAGTGTTTACACGAAGCACATATTAGTAACCTAGAAGTGAGTATACTTGTGTATATTATACGCAAAAATATTATTCGTAATGTACGTCACAAATTATATATGCATTACAATTTTCAGATAACGAATGGACGAAATATTGTCGCTTTACATCGAGTGAAAAGAGAATTTTTAGGTTTGTACATCTTAAAAACTATTAATAATAAAAATTGCTAATTTAAATCAAATAGTATTATTAAATAAATTCATTTAAAGATTTTTTATTCTTTGAATTTTTTATCCATTTTACGTTAATTTACGGCACAAAAATGGTACACTGATTTGTCGGGTTGAAAAGTACACTAATAAGATTATTTTAAAATTTAGAATATCTTTTGAATTTGTGTTTTTTTTTATAAAAACAAGGGGTAGAACGGTTAACCGTAAATTTTATTTTCAAATTACAATAAATTAAGAAATAAATAATTAGTGTTCATATCTTTAAATGAGCAATAGTCGATAATTAATTAATTTTTCAGGAAAAAATGTGCTAAGCAAATCAGCAAGGGTACAAAGCCGTGATCCAACGATAATTGTGACACCGAATGGAGGTACGATCGGTTGCGCTAATTATAATTACAGTAAAATTGTACGTACATACATTTTATAACATGATAAAAAAACCTACTAATTTACTACCTACTATTAATATGATAAATGCAAAAGTTTTTAGAGATGGATATATATATATATATATATATATATATATATATATATATATATATATATATATATATATATATATATATATATATATATATATATATTACTCTTTCACGCAAAAACTACAGAATGAATGAAATTTCTTACACGGATAGATTATATAGTAGATATATATATATATATATATAGATTATATATAGATTAGATAGTAGAGTAGTAGATAGGATACTTTACGTAATTACTGATTCACAAAACTTTTAGTCAGCCTCAGGACACAGCTAGTTATAAATATTGTTCATAGTACTCTGAAACTATTTTTTATTTACCAGCTTTATAATTAATTTATGTTTTCAGGTGTACCAAATACGTATAGAGGATTACCATACTCAAATATGCCATATACGAATACAGTAAATAGAGGACCGACTGTTGTTATAATACCAGGTGAGAAAATATTTTTTATTAAACTTGATGCAGTAAATATTGTGGAAGATTGTGGAAAATCGTAACTATCGTCTGTAAACGAGGATATCATTTCGCTATGATGTGATATATATGCCAAAAGTAGTACAAAGTCTACCAGTCTTTGTATAAAAAAAGCATAGTTATATTGCTAAAGTAGTTACTTGTGAGGATTAAAATATAACCAGTAGGTACATGATGCATAATTAGATTACTGACGCCTAAACTAAGATGAGATCATTTCAAGTCCAATATATATTTAAAACTAACTGAATACCGCCGTTTCACTTACGTGAATCAGTACATAAAGTGCAATTTTATGAACTGATTCACGTCACGTGTAAGATACTAACCTACTCGCGTAGCAAACCTTCAAATCCGTTCAATAGTTCTTGTCATTGTACTACGTCACAAACTAAAGTTCCATTCCAATCATTTGGATGGGAGGAGCAGGCAAGAAATAGTTGGTAATGCGGACTATCAGTCCCATTATTAGTAATATGCCATTTCTGCTAACACATTTCTGCTATTATAAATACAATAACAATTATTATTTTTTTCAGAAGACAGTGGTATATCGCGCGGTTCATATTACGGAGTACCTACAAATGTCAGAATCTAAAAGGCGTTATAGAAATTTACTTAATCAAAATAATTCTAGAATGTTCTACAAACTGTCTACAATACTTGATAGTACACATTTACCGTAAATTTATTCACTGTATAAATATAAACTAGAATTATTTATTTAGTTTTATTACTACTTAATAAGGTATCTACTTGATATCTGTGCTTATCAGACTACCCATTTGGTCTGGATTTGGAATAGATTTTTTAAAGTTCTAACAAAGCATATGTGTAATAAACAATTACTTATAATAATTAATTAAGGTTATAAAATTAAAGTTACCAGGAACCACTTCTTTATATTTCAAAATTATTAAACTTATAATTATAATCGGGTTCTTTCGACATGCAACGCAACACAATGGTTCATGTGTTTTACTTAGGTCACAGATGCTGTTATTGTATTAATTAATTAATTTTATTTGACAATGTCTAAGAACTATGTTGTTTTAGATATAGTATCGTACATATAAATAAATACACATAATATGAACAGAGATTTGAAAGGATAACTTCTGATGAATTTCTTGTAGTTCCATACGAATATTATACACAATTTATCTTGTACATAGAGTATGTAAGTTATTTGAAAAAAGTGACTGTTGAGGAGTTTTTGCAGGTTTTTCTCAGATCTGCTAAGAACGACATTCCGAACCCAGTAATAGAATCATAAAAAAGACGATTGTTTATAAGCGACGGTAACCGTTTTATATCGAATAATTGCCGTCGCCGATAGACACGAACAGTATCATTGAAATTGCTACTGGGAATGGCTTATCCAAAGCCAGGGGACTACAGATATCTTTAACCGCGGGATATCGTTAATGTAACACAAAGGATCTATAAAATGATGGTATAAGGCAGGGGGAAGTACAAAAGATCCCGATGGGTCGACGTGCAACAGCTTAGCTGACCCCATATGCGAATATAAGTTAAGATAAGATCATTGAAATTACATAATACATTTTGATGTCCAATCATGGGTTGCCATTGCTATAAAATAAGATATTGTATCTCCACACAATTCCCCTATTGCATATCCTACCCTTTACCTTGCAAGCACTGCTGCTTAGTGGCAGCAAAATGAGTGAACCGAAATACACATAATATATATACATATATAGGTATATAATCCACTATATATAGTTCACTGCCGAACATAAGCCTACCCCGTAAAGGGAGTTTTGCCAGTACTTGCCACGCTTGGTGGTGGTGAAGAAACTTCTTTGGTGGCATTTTTAAAGGAATATTGCAGCCCATCCCTCTATCATTAAATTCCCTTAATCGCTCCTTACGACACCCACTGGAAAGAAAGGGATGGTTCATTCTATACCGAGACCACACAGCATAGATTGAGTTACTCATATCTTGGACTTAATAATTAATTTATGTTTTTTTATTCTAATCCATGCTGGCAACACTACTCTAACGAGTAGGTATTATTTACTCTATAAGTATTTTGCATTGCTCTGTCAGTTACAACGGAAAAAACTTTTATATGTAACTGATTATTTATGTGCACGCGAACGGTAATAAACCTATTCCCCATTGATTATCAGACGTTGATCTTTAATAACGGGTCTATCTGTCTTTGTCAAGCCTCTATTACACGTAATTGTATGTGGCACAGAGCTAATCAACGACGTTATAGATATACGTTATGTTCTAAGTTGATTACGTATTGTACCACCCGAAGAAATTACGTGATGATTATACTATGAAGAGACAAAATATGTGAATGTAAAAAAACATGTCGACAAATGAGATATTATTGTTAAATTTTATTTTCATATCATATCAGCTGCTGACTGTCCTCTACTGGACAAAGGCCTCCCTCTTTGGAGATTTTGCTAGTAGTTACCACGCTTAGCAGTCGAGTTGGCAACCGTAGTTAGACTTTGGTGATATTTTAAGAGGGACGCTGCCCATCCCTCGGACATAAAATTTCCTTAATCGTCTCTTATGATATCCACGGAAGGGGTGATCCATTCTATGCCAGGACCACACGGCTAATCTTTATTTTGTTTTTCATCAAAGGATGATATAGTTTGGCCTGTATGTATTAAAAAATATGAAAAATATAGTTCCCAATTCAAATTTAAAAATTCGATCGATGGATTACTCTTAAAAAAATCCATTAGATCGATATTAAATCGATATTAGAATCGAGATATTTTGCGCTCTCGAATTACAATTATAGCAACATAACGGTTCCATATTCCTAATCGGTGCACATTAGAGAGGTTGCCAATTCAAAGTATTGTAAATCTATCTCAATTCTAACCTAATTCCTAATTGTTGTTTCATAAGTGCAATACAAAGTTGTCATTGGCAATAGATTATTATATATTATCATATTAAATTCAAGAGTAGACCTTACTGACCTGGGATTTTTTTAATACAGTTGCTTGATTTTAGTTTTATTTTGATTTAAAACAACAAAAGATTGTGACCCACAAATAAAAACCGACTTCCATTGTAACAAAACAGTTATTTTGATGTAGAAATTAAACTGAACCGATGGAAAATTGTTTTTTATCTGTAAGTATATCCTTTCAGATAAAAAACAATTTTCCAAAATAGTTTAGAACTAACGAAATTAAGAGGTAACAAATATAAAAACAATTGAAAACTACTAACTACCTTCGTTTTGAAGTCGCTTGAAAATATTTGTCAAATTTAGTCGACCAACGTCAAATTAGCTGACTAAATTTTGGTCCATTTTTAACATTTAACGCTCTATCTTATAATCTTTTATATAAATAAATATAGCGTTAAATGATAAAAATGGATCATAATTAGAAAAATCATAGCTATATTCTGTGATTGAGAACATTTTGACATGTCCAAATTTCGAATTTGCATTTTCTACAACACGCTGGAGTAAAATTCAAATCCCGTATATTTCAATTTGTATTTATTCATACAATAACAATAGAAAATACAAAAACAAAAAATAACGTTCATTTATAAATTTAATCAGGTTTATTTAATTGAGCTAGGTATTTAGTTGAACAACAAGGTAACTTTTTTACCACAAGTGGAATTATGCTATTGTGTTTAGTGTACTGATTTTACGATCATATTTTTTTTACAAATATTTAGATGTGTAGACGAAGTTAACAAAATATATATCTTCTATCAAGTAACTAAAATGCCATCCACATATTCTGTACCAATGCCTCTTGTTATTTTAATAGGAACATATTATAATAAATAACTATTTCATAGAAAAATATTCATAAATATATTTTATAACATATGAATAATATTATTTACCTAATTATAATCAAACATGAAATAATGCTACTGTTGAGTATATTTGAGTAATTACATACCTATAGCATAAGAAAAGAAACCGCTACAGAATACTCGAAATACCAGTAAAACAGGCAAGCTTGAACATAAAATAAAAATAACAACAAAGTACGCCACAATAATGTAGGTATGTACGCCACAAATAAAACCTATCTTCGTAATCTCTCGTAAAAAAACTCAAGTTGTATTACAAGCCCAAAGCGAAGATGCAAAGACCAGTATCCGGTTTAAGGGAATAACCAGACTACTATATACGTGCGCGTACTTCGCAAATCGTGAGGCGTGGAGTATCACGTTTCGCTCGACGAAGCTAATTTACAACTAATATTTGCTTTTTTTTAAATCAACCAACAATACCAAAGGATGCGTAGAACCTTAATTGTTCATGTAATATCAATTCGTTTGTCTCAATGATAACGTCATCGTGGGAAGCGTTCGTTCTCCGAAACGTCCTGCGACTAGCATCGAATAGGTAGTTCATGACGTTGAGCGGTAGCAGGAAAAAACTTGTATATATAGGTTTCGTTTGTGAGTCCTGTGGCAGTACACGATGGGACCCAGTTGTGTGGTGGTGACCGTGGTGGTATTAGCGAGCGTGGCGGCCACGTGGGCGACGCCGACCGTCGGCGATAACACCCTCGATGGGGGAGAGAGGGTCGTCCTTGTCGCTCCAGTGCTCGCACCCCCAAAAGATTCCAGGAGCTCGTACACACATGACCGGTCGAGGCAGTTTCCCATTTTAGTCCTGCTTGCTCAGGAGAACCAGGGACAAGTCCGTCCAGAGCCAGAGGCGAAATCGTTGGAAGGAAATCCACGGCCAATTTATGTCCAGGTAAAAATAAAATATTTCTTTGTTATTGCGACATGGAATTATTATTCTGTGCAAAAAATAAACTCCAATGTAAAATAACATAGCCCTGTTTAAAATTTAGCTATATTGTTTTAGATAAACATTCTATTTCATTACTTAAAAAGTGAAGTTATAATATAATAAATATATATAATTCGATCAGAGTTGCTTTTTAATCTTATTTACTGGTCAAATATGTAAAACTAAGTACAACAAAAATCAATGTGTGTATCAATTTCTAGTTGTTATTATATGTAAATTTTAATTTCAATTACCTTGGTCCGTAACTTAGTGGTAGACACATTGCTTTACGTAAATAAGATACCGGGTTCGATTCCCGATTGGGTCAATTTAATAAATGATTTTTTCTAAACTAAAAGATGTATCCAGACTTGAGGAGTAGACGATTGGTATCATTGTATGGCACTTTTTATGATTACTTTACATAGATACCTACCTATTCTTTAAATAAAAATTTATACGCCATTTACAAGCAGATGCGCTGTATATATATGCAGACCGCCATTTACGTATTTTATATACCTATATATGCCCATGTCAATGAAAATTTAATATCGATATCTTATTTTAATACATCATAAAACAATGATGTAATGGCCAATTATGAGTTCCATGGTTTATAATTTTGTTTATTAAATATTATACATTTATTTAATGACATGATTAATCTAGATCTTTATACTTATGTTTTTATAAAGGTAGTTTATCTTTGTTTTTAAAATGATATTTAATGCAATACATAAATAATGTTTACACAAATATTTATTTTTTTGTAGAAACTAGAGGACCAAGAGCATCCTGAATATGGTCGCGTGAATAGACAAAAACGCCATTTATTGAAAAAGAAACTACTGGGTCTCGGTGGCGGGATCTCGTTCGGCGGTGGCGGCTTTGGCTATGGCGGAGGCGGTGGTTACGGCGGAGGTGGCGGTTATGGCGGCGGCGGTGGCTATGATGGCGGTTACGGCGGTCACCAAGGTTACGGAGGTGGTCCCGCGAAGACAATCGTCATTGTTAAAGAACTACGTAAGATTGTCAACAATTAGTTTATTATCAACAATTAACAGTCGAATTGTGTCTTGTTACTCCATTTGCGATTATATTCACTAATTATATTTATTTTATTTATTTTTAATGTGTAAAATTTTGGAACTCGTCTTTTCTAATTCTACGATGGCAAGTGCTGTTATATCTCTCAAGTAACTTAACTATTATTTCAATGTAGTTAACTACAGTAGCATAAAAATGGAACTATTTAATACAACTGTGTAATTATAATTCTATAGAAGACTGGATGTCTTTAAAAGTAAAGTACTTATTTATTATTTTCATTTTCAGAACACGGAGGTGGCCATGGCGGTTACGGTAATGGCGGCGGCGGCGGATATGGAGGTGGTTTCGGTGGCGGCTACGGAGGCGGCGGCGGCTTCGGTGGCGGAGGCGGCTATGGCGGCGGTGGCGGAGGTGGCTATGGCGGTGGTGGCGGCTATGGCGGCGGTGGCGGACTAGGCGGAGGTAGCAGTTACCAGCCACAACCAGTTTATCATGGAGGTGGCGGTTGTGGAGGAAGTTGCGGAGGAGGTGGATATGGTGGTAGCAGTGCCACTGCCACAGCAACAGCGACTGCCACTGCATCAGCTCATTCAGGGTCTTACGGGTGAGGATAGTTCTATATTATCGTAAATTTTATATAAAACTAGCGACCAACCCTGGCTTCACATGGGTGTAAACTATCAACAACAATACCATTTGTCAAGATATTTAATTTATTTTATTTAATACTTTATTGTACACATTAGTTATAAAAATATGACAGAGGTAAACAAAAGTACAAAGGCGAGCTTAACTCTGATAGAGTTTTCTTCCAGCAAACCCAAAGTGGAAAGGAGCATCAATGTCAGCGGATACAGCAGTGTACAATTTTTAAATAGCCAAAATTAAATTAATTAGATTATATTATATAGTACAAATACACACATACATATATATAAATATATACCTACATCTATGCATAAACCTACATATACATACACATATACATACAATAAACCTACACATATAGATAAATAAATATATGTTCATAGAGATAGAAGATGCTCTTTAAGTCTACTCTTAAAAATATTTAGGGATTGACTCTCACGGATAGATATGGGAAGAGAATTCCACAGCATGGACGGTAAAAGATCCACTATAGCGCGTAGATGAGTGTGAAGGGAGTTTGAGGATAAGAGATTTCGTCGAACGGGAGGACACGTCATGGGGAACTAGAAAATCAAAACGTTCACGAAGATAGGAGGGAAAAGTAGGGTTATATAGAACGGAATATAAAAACGACATTATATGAAAGTCTCGACGCCTTCGAATTGGCAGCCAATTCAATTTTGTTCTATAAGCGGAGACATGATCATATTTACGCAGACCATATATGAAACGTATACACAAATTCAACAGATACATAAGTACAATCCTGTCTCTCAAGATGAAGCAAATAATACATTTACAAAGTTTCATTAAAATTGTCCTGATGATAGAGGAAGATAGAAAAGAGTCGAGTGGACTACGTGAAAGATGACATAGTTATAATAGGAGTGAATACTGGGGAGACTAAATGGGGATAAATAAAAAAGATAAACAATAATATCACTCCCAATCCAAATGATGTTAAATATTGACAGAAAGATAATAATGATGCAGTCAACAATGTTTTTGAAGTGATAAATTTATTTCCACAACTAAGGTACATACGTTATTTATAGGTAATAAATTTTTATAACAACAAAGATTATTTGCTATCGATACTGACAGTTTTAAATATACAGTATACTTACTAAATTGATCCAATTTCTTAGTGAGACAAGGTGACGACCCATATATCAATTCGACCTGAAATACTGGTTCGTTAAAGTTCAATGACTCTGTTCATTTATTACCACGTAGAGTTTTGCCTTTTTTATTCGTAAGTATTTAAACAGTGTAACATTATAATATTATTATTAAAATATTAAAAGTTTTTCACTTAATAATAATAATAATAAAACTTAATAAGCATTATAATAATATAAAATACAAATATATTATATTATAATAAAAAAAAATTACAGGGTACAGAAGCATAACACCATCCTTAGGAATAGCAACGCATGAAGGGTATCATGGGCAATACAGTATACTTTGTTGTCTATGGTACTGTTCATGTCTATAGGCGAAAGCTGCTACTTTACATTAGGTGGACCATCAACTTATTTGCCATTCTGAGTTGCATAAGAAAAAATATAATAATCACAAAATTACCATCAGAATGGTGACTGTATAATTTTAACACCCTTGAATAATTTATTTGAATAATTTTAACATGGAGAATTTTTATGGCCTTTGATAGAGTTTACTACCCTCCGAAGTAATTAAGTTTCTAAAAAATTTCCCCCTGGGGGCACTGAGGTTAGGAATGAACTTTTGGACAACGATCTACAACATAAGACATTCTTCAAGCAAGACACAGAAATACCTTTAGGGTCAATACTACAAAATAAATCCTGGTATAGAAGATATTCTATAATCTCTTTTCTATATTTTATAACTAGGAATATATATTTTTGCTACTTTGGTGGTAAAATATTAAATTACATTAATAATTGTATTGTATCGATAATAATAATTATAATAATAATAATACCATCAAAAAAAAATATACATATATATATATATGTTAAACGAAGAACGAAACTGTAATCTTACGAAGTAGCAGCGTTATGTTAATCCACTACACCATAATGGATCTCTTTGTATATTAGAAACATTATTGTAAGATACAAAAATTTACTTTGAAATTTATTTTTTTGTTACAGATATGGCAAGCGTTAACTTCTGTTTCGAGACCTAAAGTGAATATTAATATCCAAATGTGTAAATTTCATCAATACATCTGTGATTTTATAGTGCACAAGTGGACAATGTGGATATTATAGACTAAATGCCAAAATAGCTTTAACATTGATAGCAAAAACGACTAGCAACTTATTGTCAAGTTGTGTCTACTCTATTTTTGCTCAAAATCTATTAGAATATAACTTACTTGTCTTAATTTTTATGTTACTGCTTTTTAATTTTTTTTTTTATAAAATAAATCTTATTTAATAAAAGTCTTTTATTATTATTTATATAGGAAACTTTAAAAAATCCACTTACCTTAACAACTCTAACGTCCTACGGTCATAGATCTGTTCCTGAAAGAAAAGGATATAGCCATTGCCGCACTAATAATTGGATTATTATTTTGAGTGTACCTTCTCTTATTATTATTATATCAGTTATTAATTGTCCACTGCTGAACGTAGACCTCCCCCATTGTGCAGTAGATGATTCGCTTGGCAAATTGGCAAGCAAAACCTAACCTTACTTTCTCTTAATCCTCACTTATTAATATTAATATAGCATATAGTATTAAGTTTACATTAATATAAAAGTTGTGAGTGGGCACTACTATATCTTCAACTTAACGAAGGATTAAATGACATATAAAGATTATGCTACTAATAAAAAGGATTTTTATTTATCTAGATAGGAAGCACACAGCTCTACCTTCGAGGATTTCAATATCTTTTATTTTTATACTACTATGATAGCAAACAAGCATACCATCGTACGGCTCGCCATCGACAGGGAGTTCATCCTCATACACTCACTGGTCGCTACCGCGCGGTTTCAAAGATGTTTCCTCCCACGAACGCTCAGGTTGTGGAATGAGCTCCCTGCCGAGATTTTCCCAAGAGACTACAGCATGGGATTCTTCAAAAGGGGGGTAAAGAGGTTTCTTCAGGGTCAGTAACGTACGCGTAATACCTCTGGTATTGCAGGTGTTCATAGGCTACGGTAACCACTTACCATCAGGTGGGCCGTATCCTTGTTTGCCACCTCAGTGGTATACTCGTAAAAGAAAAAAAATACACCGTCTTATAATAAACGAGGTTATCGTAGCCTATAGACGCCTGTAACATCAGAAATATCACGTGCACATTAATATACATACCCTTAAGAAATCTTAAGACGCCCTTTTTGATGAATCCCATACTGTAGTCTCTAAGGAAAGACTCGACAAGAAGATCATTCCTCAACTTGAGTATTTACGGGAGGAAGCTCCCCTGAAACGACACTGTGCGTGACCACTTTGGCTCCAAGGTGTGAGGATAAAGTTCCTGCTTGCGGTGCGACTGCAAAAGTAGCAAATTAAGACTAGTTCCATTCTGCATTGTTCACTGAAATTATGGCCTATCTATTCGAGCATGATAAAAATTACAATGACACTCTGTAATTTCAAATTTCCATAGGTTTTTTAATTCAGGAAATATCATAGTTTTGTATATCCGCGGAAAAAAAACAAAGGTGTATAAACTAGGTATACCAATATGTAAACAATTAATACGGAAATTATTATTAAGATGATCTCATATTTAATTATGGTTGCCTGATGATTTTCCATTAAGTATGTTTTCTCATGCTGAGATTAACAGATCATATAGTTTCTTAGTAAAGATGTAAACAACTACTATAAATTGTATGGAAAACCACAAATAATACTATGTAAATTAATGAAGCCGTAGGTATTTACTGATCATTATTATAATTTTTTTATTAAAATAGAATAGTAACCGCTTCTTAGCTATTAGTCTGTGATAATTGAAGATATAATTAGAGAGATCAAAACAAGTCGGGATTTTTTAATATTTTTTATTAACGATTTTTCCAAGTCTTGCTTATACCATTTCAATAAAACTTAATAAAAAAGTAAAGTAATAAAAAAACCAACCTTGTGGTATCTCTCTAAATGAAATTTGTAACAAATCGAAACATTAATTAAATATATATTTATTTTTATTTGTACTGTTATTCAACATTAGCAGACTGTCTTATGGTTAGGTCAATTATTCGTTTTTTTGATATTTTTTTAAATTTCTTTATTACATAAGGATAATATGAGGTTTGTGATAGGTATCACACTTGGGTATCACAATAATCTTCGGATGACCGAATCACAATCTTCTTCATAAATCCGGAATGGTCATGCCATTCCGGATTTATGTGCAATTCTTTTACTGCCACCGCTATCAGCCTTTGGAATAAAATAAAATCCCCATAGATCTACGCCGAGCACTAAGTAAACATATTGTTAAGGAAAGTGGCTGATTTAAATAGTAACTTATTAGCACAAGGAAGCAAAAGTAATAATATGAGACCTAAAGGCCCGGGTTCTAGATCCCATAAAAGAAGTTTGTATGTCAAAATGATACGGACTCACCTTGACTGCAGATTTAACGTAAACGGTACACGCTCAGGATGCACCAGGTTTCAGGAAGCCACGCCACGTGAGTGTCACAATGACGCTGATCTATTCTGGTCTATTCGTGAAAACCACACTATATGTTGGGTAAACAATCACTAGCGACACTTGGAAACGATAATAGGGAATGTCCAGGAGATTCACGAGTTCTCCACACAGTAAATAGGCACACAAGAGCAACCCGTTGCAGAGTGTTACGGGGTAGATGTTGGACTGGGGCCGACCATTTGTCTGTTTCTCTTATGTTAGGGGAATCGGTAGAATATGACGCGATTGGAGGGTATTATAAAGTTTATAGTGAGGTGACTTTCTTAAAACATATATATATATATATATATATATATATATATATATATATATATATATATATATATATATATATATATGACCTGCTTCATCCTCATCTATCATCCCTCACTGGTACCCCGCCGGTGTATACCGATAGCGCAGGTGGAGTTACCATTTCATTATCACCCATTAAAAAACAGCAAAATAGTTAAACAGACTCAAATGGTAAAAAATGGTGAAAAAAAACGCCTGAAGACATAATACACGACCAGCCATCGACACCTATGTAATTTGTTGCGTTATAATTTGTAAAGGGAAATGTAATGTAAACAGCAATATTTCTAGAATACAGATTTTAAAGTAACCATTTAATGAATATGTAATGGTTACTTATTAAATAAACAAAACTTTTTTTACTGTAATTTCAGTTCATATTATGAGACAGGACTTCACATTGATTACATAGAGATGATATCAATTCATATTAATTATAAACTAGATGTTTACAATTAGTTTGGTTTGTCTTCGATTATGTTAATATTCTTATGATTAAAGAAATGTAAATGCTTATAGCATTTTACATTTCGAATTCATATTTCGAATAGTTCAAATTCTGCCAAAATTCTCTTACAATCTCCATCAACATTTCAAATTTCATTATAAATAGAGCCTGAACTTTTATAATAGTTATGTTGTTTATTTAACAATTGGCTAAGATATCTCTTATCATACAGCTGAGTAGAAAACCTGAAGACTAAGGCTGTTAAAACTTTTATAAACTAGTTTAAATTACGTGACTGTATTTTTTATTTATGATTTTAGTACCAAATTATAAAGCAGCTTTCAAGCGCTGTAAGTATACTTCCTGCTTCTTTTTTAAAAATCAGTTTTAATAAATATGTGCTGTTTTAATAGTAGGAAATTTCAAAAGTGTGGTAATGGAATGATAACCTAGTCTGTTACTGGTATACACTGGCATGGTACCAGTGAAAGATAAGTGAGAATGGAGCTGGCCAGTAAGCTCATCGTGACGGAATTTAAGAATAAATCGACTATAATATTTTCCAGGCGGAACCGCTAGTTTATTATGTATTGCTAGCAATGAGGTTACTAATCCGTGTTTCAACAACAACAATTCCTTCTTTTTTTTAAGTTATTCTAGTATATAAAAAATAATCAATAAAGAAAACAGTAGTAATAAACAGTAGTCTATCATTCTCTTTTCCAAGTACTTTGTGTGTACTAAACAACATGACTGGAAACAAACAAAACAATGTTACATGATCACGTTTTTATCATAACTAAAATATTGTAATTTATCATAATATTATTACACTGAACAATCGTGATCTTTATTAACATACCTAATTATATCTCATTTGTTTTTACTTATAAACTGCTTTAGTGTAATACAAAAGGTCAGGTTATCATCGTACGAGTCTAGACATCTTACTGCGTTCAATAAGAAATTTTTAATGACCTACAATAACAGACGGGGTGATAAGTCGACGAACCTACGCATATGCTACGTAGAAACTACGTCTTTCATAAATCATATTTGTTCTATTGATAGAGATTATAAATAATCATTAAAGAGCGGTGATAGCTCAGAATGACCAATAAAGAAGAAAGGTTCTCGAATGGGGACCTTGTGCAAGCAAGTGCAGTGTGCGTCGACCTCAAAAGATCGTAAGTGTTGCAAGAAGTTGCTGAATGCAAATATCTCAGAACTATACTTCGTAACGAAATATGAGGGACACTTATGTTTTATAGCGGACGATAGATGGGTTATAATGATGATGGCGATGATGGTGATGGTAATGACAGATGAATCGGACAAAGTTTTACTGTGATCCAAGATTCCCAAGACTGAATTTCGTCCTAAACGACTCTCCCCTAAATATGTGAAAACGAATCTATCGATAGATATGCTATCGCTACCACCTGCATGCGAGAACGAGACGGCAATGTCTGACTATTACAACTTTATAATATAGGTGGTTTGTTTCTTTGACATTCATTGCACTCAAAAGATCATTGTTAATGTCATGGCCAATGAATATTCTATATGTGATTTAAAAAAAATGGTAGACAATCCTTGCGTAAGGCCGTATTTTTTATTGAAAAATTATTCAAAAAATATTCATAATTACCTACATGATTGTTAAATGTACAAATATAAACAAATAATGTGAAATAATATGAAAGTAAATTTGTTTGTTTACTACCTCTTTGTTCTACCAGTCGTCATGAAATTTAGTATATACCATATGCACTATTTAAAATGGAAAAGGATATAGGTTATTCTATGTCTAGAACAATCACTACATCCCAGTCACGCAGACGAAACCGCGGATAAAAAGTAGTGTAGGCACATAATAAAGTTGAAGAAGGAGTTGAAGTTTAATCGAAATCACAGTAATGGAATCTTTGACTTCTCACATAACACTACGTCTTTTCCCTTCGAAATAGTAACTTTTAGACCATTTTATACTATTATAATATTAGGTACTAGTT